CGTTATACTAACTTACATATTGAAAATGTTTGTATGTTACAGAAAAAAGTTAGTAAATTAATAAACACAATTTTCTTTGAAATAAGGTTTAGACTTTTTTAAATTGCTAATAACATGAAAAAACATGATGCATTATTGGAAATACATCTAGAGAGACCTATCTATGAGCAGGAAACTTTAAATAAAGATTATCAATATGAGAAACCTCATATGTCTGGTATGTGAAAAAATAATACGTATTTCAAAATCTGTACGGAAAGTTACTTTATGAAATTGGTATTTGCAGTTATGGAAGATACACTGAATGCCCTGAGGTCTAAAAATTGGAAAAAATGTGTGACGTCTGCAATCCCATCCATAAATTGGTTGAGAGATTATCAATGGAAAGATACAATAACATCTGATATAATTTCTGGTTTGACTGTGGCAATTATGCATATTCCTCAGGGCATGGCTTATGCTCTTTTGGGAAATGTTCCACCTGTAATTGGAATATATATGGCATTCTTTCCTGTTCTAGTGTACTTCTTCTTTGGCACATCCAGACATGTGTCAATGGGTATGGAAAAAATATTTTTTACACTTTGGTAATAAAGTTCGACATAGAAAAGATTTTGATTCTGTTACAAAAAATACAAACATACATTTAGTAAAATACTACTTCTATTACAGAAGAATTACACATAGTTCCTTTTAATAAGAACTTATTAGTCAAGCTAAAACAATGAAACATTATTGACACTCATCAGGAACATTCGCTGTGGTATCCTTGATGACTGGGAAAACTGTGATGACTTACTCTAAACCACATGATACTATAAGTGGGAATAATACAGAATTAATGTCCATTCCTCCTGGAGAACTATCATATGCTTTTACACCTATGCAGGTAGCAACGGCTGTTACATTGATGGTTGGCATATATCAGGTAATGTTTCATAAATTTTGTGATATGTTCTATAAAAATTACTGATCGCATTCTATTTTATTTTTAGATCATAATGTACATATTTCATTTGGGTATCATAAGCACATTGCTTAGTGAACCTCTAGTGAATAGTTTTACATCTGGTGCAGCTGTTTACGTTTTTGTATCCCAAATTAAAGATTTACTAGGTATAAAAATTCCAAAACAAAAAGGATACTTCAAACTCATTTTTGTAAATATGTAACATTAAAATGAATGAAGTTAGAATGGGCTATTTTAATGATCATAAATTAATTAAAAAATTAATTTCAGACGTTGATAAGTATATTTAGTGAAATAAAAAACACAAATCCAAGTGCTTTGATTATGTCATTAATAACGATTATTATTCTTGTATGTAACAATGAATTGTTAAAGGTAATTATAATTTATATGTACAAGTATTACTATAATTTTTTTATTATAAAAATATGCAAATAATTATAACTTTTAATATTATTTTAATGTTAGCCATGGGCAAGTAAAAAATGTAGCATTCCAATACCGATTGAATTGATTGCAGTTGTAAGTGGAACTTTAATTTCAAAATATTTTCGTTTGACTGAAAAGTATAATATTCAAGATGTTGGTGATATTCCAATAGGGTATGTAATTATTTTATTTCATATTTTTATATAAAGTTTATTAATCTAAAATAAATGTAAACATTCTTGTTATATAAATTTGAATGTGTAACAGACTTCCAGCCCCTGAAATACCAACAGTTAAATTACTACATCTTGTAGCTATAGATAGTATTGCTATAACTATGGTGTCTTACACTATTACCATATCGATGGCTTTAATTTTTGCACGTAAACTTAATTACAAAATTAATTCAAATCAAGAACTCCTTGCTATGGTAAGGTATTACTTTTATTTTCTATGTTTAAGTACTTCAATTGTTTACTATCTTCAATTTGAAACTATTGTTATAGGGTTTAAGTAATGTATTTGGATCATTTTTCTCTTGTATGCCAGTTTCAGCATCTTTAAGTAGATCTTTAATTCAAGAAACTGTTGGTGGTCGAACACAAATAGCTAGCATTGTATCTTGTTTGATATTATTATTTATTCTTTTATGGATTGGTCCATTTTTTGAATCTTTACCAAGATGTGTTCTAGCAGCGATTATTGTTGTAAGTATAAGAATAATTTTGTAAACTATTTTATGAATCATTTCAAGTTTAACATTTTATAAACTTCTTCCATTCTATAGGTGGCTTTGAAAGGAATGTTTCAGCAAGCTGCTCAGTTGTTAAAATTCTGGAAATTGAATAAGTGTGATGCAATGATCTGGATTGCTACATTTGTTATGGTTGTAATAGTAAATATTGATATTGGTTTACTTTTTGGGATTATGATGTCGCTTGGAATTATTTTATTGCAAAGTATTAGGCCATATACTTGTTTACTGGGGCATATACCAAATACAGATTTATATTTAGATATAAGTCGATATAAAGCAGTATGTATTATTCATAACTAATTTTATAGTCTATATAAATATTGTAATCTTTATTAATTGTTCATATTATTTTCAGGCTATAGAAATTCCCAAACTGAAAATTTTTCAATACTGTGGTACTTTAAATTTTGCAAACTGTAATTATTTTAAATCAGAATTGTACAGAATAGTTAGAGTGAATCCACAGAAAGTCAGAGAACATAGACAAAAATTAAGAGAAAATGGGATTTACATAGATACACAAGATTTAGAGGACAAACAGGAATTACGTTGTGTAATCATGGATATGAGCGCCTTAAGTTATATTGACTCGAGTGGTGTATTCACTTTGCATTCGGTTATACAAGAATTCGATCAAATCGATGTACAATTTTATCTTGTGAATTGTACGAGTCCTATTTTTGAAACCATAAAAAAATGTGACTTATATTTGCACGGTAAACTTACATTTAAGATTTTTGCGACGATACAAGATGCTAAACTGTACTTTGAAAAAGAACATTACTCAAGATAGTATATGTTCATTACTGTACTTATTTTATCTATGTTGCGAATGTTTATATAAATATATTTGTTTTCCTTGTTTATGTGATGTCGCTATTAATTTAATGGTACTTAGAAATAGTATTAGAACAAATTTTAAATACACAGCGAAATGTACAATAAAAATTTTCATATTTGCAAACAGTTGGAATATAATTATATAGAATGTGTTATATATAATAAATATGTTATTTAGTTATATGTTCAAGAAAGTACAAATGTGTAGTACAGAATCGATACTTGTATTTCTTAAAATGTGTACTTTATTGGTTTCATTCAGTTGTACGAGGTGCTACTCAAATGTATGATATATACATGAACATGACAATAAGAGATTTCAAATGAATTCTACTTTTTATAATCTAGATAATCAGTTGTGTACAAATAAAACAATTTTTAACGAATTTCCCAAGTTTATAATTCTAATATGATATAAAACATTTATATTACGTGCAGTAGAATAATTCTGGAGATGTAAAAAAAGAAACTTAGTTTATAATCACCTAGTGCCCGCTTGTACTCCATGTATGCATGGAGTACATTTCAAAGACTTCAATAAATTAAACCGTAAATCAGTAATTATTTTATCTTATTATAGTTCAGGTATATGATAAGAAATGAATCAAAGTCATCAATTAATCGAGCAATCACAGAGCTTTTATTTACAGTGATTACTCTATGTACAAAGTAACAGTCGTTAGTTACATTAGGTAACTCACTGTCACTATCGAATTTTTTTTCTTAAATGTGCTACTTCCTTTACGATCAAACTGATGGTAAAGCAATACAGTTCACGGATGTAGCACATTAATACTTCTAATATTAAGGCAGTGGGTCCTGCACTGTTTGTATTACAGAATAAATACTCAAAATTGTATGGCAAAACATTGTTCGACAATGTATTGTGAGGAAATTATGTAATTTAGCTATGCCTGTTTTTCTCTCTAACTGTAATTGCTTCTCAATTCGATTAAAAATATCGATGGTACACGACAATTAAGCAAGTCCGTATTTCTTCTTAAGAGATTCTGGCATCTCTGGAGGTGGTGGGCGCGGCATACGGAGCCATACCTTCACAGCATCATAGATAAACCATTGTGCTGCCGTCAATGTACCGATCATGACAATCCTAGGACCAAGACCCTTCCATACACCAGCAAAACCAAGTTTTCTCAGAACCTCACCTGCTGTTGATCCTTTTTCTTGATTTAATTTTGATACAACCTGTATTAACAAAATTCGTAACAGCAATATATTAATGTACTGAATCAAAAGTTAAATTGTAGTCGGTATAAGAAATGTACTTACAGAATCAGCAGGATGAGATACAATTGCACAGAATACACCAGCGATATAACCAGCTGCGAAGGTGACAACCAACTGCTCACCTTTTGAGCATTCTAATCTTGGTTTGGGAACTACATATTTGTACAAAAGTTCGACAGTACGCTCGAAACAAGCAAACTTCATCATTGTGTATGGAATTTGACGAAGCCACAAAGGTACCAGCCCTTTGTAGAAGCCACCAAGACCTTCTTCAGCAAACATCTTGGGAAAGGCTTCTCTCAAAGTATTTGCATATCCAGGCATGGTTTGAATCCTAACCTGGGTAAATAGATGGTATGTGTTATATATTAAAAATCATGTATTTTATAATCTATTTGACAGTATCTAAATTAATAGTTATTTGAGAAAACTTACAATATGTATGATATTGGACATGACGAGGCAAAGATGAGGATCAGGATTAGGAACAATGTGAAGGAACAAAAGAACAATTCTGTCTTGTTTTGGATCTAGGAGTTGTCACAGGAATGCACAGACAATACAAGAATAGTACTTGTTAAGCTTTTTAAATTGCAACAGGGACAGTATCGATCTAACTGTTCTCTCTTTTCAAAAACATTAAGAAAGTTATTTGTATGCATAAGTGACAGAAAATAATTAATAATTACTTTAGCAGCTTCAAGGGGAGCTAGACCAATGTCAGCAAAGAATTCTGCTGATGCTGAAGAAACTAGATATAAACTTGTCCTGTATTCATAAGACAGTTCCTCTCCAGCAATGGCTGAATAATATACTTTGAAGACTTCATAAAGACCAAATTTGAACATTCCTTGAGTAGAATAACCAAAAAATGTTGGAGCCCATCCTTTTACCAAACCACGGGTACCATCTTCAGCCAATGTCACCTAATTGAAAAAATATAAAAATATTGTTTGTTATATATGTATAATAATTATATAAAATTGTTATTAAAAATAATTTATTACTTACCCTGAATCCATTGAAGACTGATTTATATTTTTCAGGGTTTACCTGAATTCGGCATTTAACCAAATCCAAAGGTGTAACCATGGTATGAGTGATACCACATGACAAAATACCACCCAAACCACATAGCATAAAGTATTTGTTTGATCCAAACTCACAGCTATCTATATATAAGAAAACAAATATGCATCATATTATAAATTCTTAGCTGCAATTGTTAAAAAATTACATAGAATATGATTTCACGTTGGGTGTGATACATATAATTTGGACAAAAGAACTAATCGATAAAAAGGACTACCATCGATCAGCTGTTCCTTTGAAGCAACGTGCGGTATTCAAATTTGGCAAAGTATCAAAATTGGCACGAATGACCGTACCACCTTACTGTTATCCAATAATAAACCATCCAAGTACACGAGGATATTTTTAATTGGTTTCTCGGTCGCGGCCACTGTACCAATACGCTATTATTTTTAATCGAATGTCAACCAAGGCTGCGAGGACGACATTGAAACGCGATTTTCGACAAAATGGCTGCCCTTATGCAACCCTTCGTTAGTAGGAAGATACCGAATGTCAGAAATTTGATCGTTGAGTTATATAAAGACAATGTCGCAATCTGTATCATTCACTTATAAAACAAATTTCATCAATTATTAAAAAACATATTTTCGAGGAATCACAAAATATCTACAAAACTTGTGAACGAAAATTTATTAATGTACAATACTTCACTCGCCATGCGGTGAGATTTATATTCGTTACATAATTTTAATGCACCAAAGTGATATTTCGATATATCTCTTACATTTTTTAATACGAATGTTTATGATTGTTTAAATCCATTAATTGACTGAAAAGTCAAATTTTTAACATTCCAAAAGGTGTATGTACAAATGATATTTTAGATTATGTAATAACATTCATGTGACTTAAACATTGCTTGAAACGATATTGATTTATCCTAACGATCGTTGCATTTGCTTTCGACAAGCAGGTGTCAACGAGAACAATTTTTTGTCATGCACACTTAATTCATTCATACTTGGCCCTGAATGAAACTCCGTTATATAAAATACGTTATGTGCAAATGATTTGCAAACTACTTACCGCCTGTATCAGCGGATGCCATCGCGATATTACGATTCTTAACTAACGGCTGTGAAATTTCGTTCTGCCCCTGACATTTAGCTGTCACGAAAAGGTTCGCTTTGGCTACGTCCAATATTGAGGGCCACATCTTATCTCTGTCACTTCACCTGTGCACACCACCAAAGAATCAGAATTTCTCTGCAATAATTATATTAGTTTAAATCATTAGCTACGAAACCTTCTAGGACTCGACTCTCGCCTCCGCGTTGTGGAAAAAGAGTGGCAGAGACTTCAATAACGAAATCCGTTTAGTGATACAACCCATTGATTAGAATTTTATAGATACGATACGTATTATGTATTCAAAATGTTGAGGCAACACCAATGGACTGCCACTAGATGGCTACAAATATGGCTAGTGCATTTTGCAATTTCACTAGTATGAAAAGACACTAAGCATACAAATACATTGTACACACAACAGTGTATGTACGCATTTGTTCATACTTCTCAATTTCCATTTGCACGTTTTCAATAGCGTAAAATGATTTCAACATTTATTAATGTTCAAATTCTTAGAAATGTTACAAACAAAGTTCCGATATTTCTGTGTCATAATAAAAGTATAAAGACACAGGTTTCGGTTCAAGAAGCAGCAGATATAACAAGTAATCCTGATTTGGTAATATTTCGTTGTATACTATGATAAAATATATATTTCATTCTGTCCTTTACGCAATAAGAGAATACTTTTTTGATCATTCAGTTGTTGCTCAAATAAATTACATTAATATTGTTTAATCTTTTTACAGCCAACACTTTCTGAAAATCCATTTAAAAAAGAGAGAACGTTATGCATTCTATGTAAACTGAAGATAGAACCAGATTATAAGAATGTACGTTTGTTGTCTCAATTTCAAAGCAGTTATACAGGTAGAATTTACGGAAAACATATAACCGGATTATGCGATTATAAACAAAAAAGGGTGGAAGAAGAAATTGGAAAAGCTCAACAAGCTGGCACGTTTAGTTTTTTAATATATCATTCATCAATAGTTTGTATATTTTATAAATATTTATTTATTCTTAATACTTTTTATTCTCCAGGATTAATGGGATTTATGACAAAAGATCCAAGATATGTGAACGATCCAAAACTATTTGATCACACCCAACCGATTAAACCACATCCCTATTAAATCTAAGATATATTATGGTAACAACTTTAATTCTTTTATAATATGACACTTTCTGTAACTTTTATGATATAAATATTTTCTGTTTAGTGAATTTATTGTAAAGTATATATATTATAGTACAAAGTACATATACCACTAAATATTTAATGGTGGTTCTTCAATGAAAGTATCATCATCGGGGGAAAAATGAACTAATTTATGGTCTATACCAAATGAAGATAAGATATCCATTATGCTCACTGGTTGCCCATTCATTNTTCTGTTTAGTGAATTTATTGTAAAGTATATATATTATAGTACAAAGTACATATACCACTAAATATTTAATGGTGGTTCTTCAATGAAAGTATCATCATCGGGGGAAAAATGAACTAATTTATGGTCTATACCAAATGAAGATAAGATATCCATTATGCTCACTGGTTGCCCATTCATT